TAATTTTAGTAAAGCCTACTTAGAAGAGAATAAATATAAATATATTAATAAAGTTCTAGATTTAATAAGCAAAGAAGAAAAAGTTTTGGATAATAATTAATATTTTTCAAATTTGACCTTTTTTCTACTTAACTTTAATTCAAATCTTTTCTTTAATCTTGTTTATAACTTGGCATTCTTTCTCCCAAACCATCTTAAAAATTCCAATTTCTAAATATTGATGGTGTAAAATTATATCAGTGGGTATTTCGCAGTTCTATCGTGCAAGATTTAAGCAATCTTTTTATAGTGCTCTTTTATCATCAAAATGGTTATAGTCAAGTTAAAAATTTGGGTTCTCGGGAGGTAAGTTTTATCGAGACATAAAAAATCATAGATTATTCGATAATTACTCCTTTGACTACTTCCCTTAATTCCCTATCTTTTAAAAAGTGTCCCTCCTCACCCCACCAAAATAAGGCGTTAACTTTGATTTTAGAACATATTGGTTCTGCTGGCATAGGTTTTCATATTTAATCTAAGTCAGTTCTAATTTTGGTGTTTTCAATTTTTTCTAGTTCTTTTATTATCTTTTCCTTTATTTCTTCAATTTGTTTATATTTGCTGGCTATCTCTTTTTGTTTTTCTAAATTAAACTGACCTTTTAGAGTTATAGGAAATTTTATCTTGATGTTTTTTATTCTGTCTTTACTAGCCTTTTTAGTAAAGCCAAAATTGTGTTTCATCAGTTCTTTTTCGATGGTGTATTTTAAATAAATTTCATCAAAACAGTTTTTATAAATATCTTTTATAATTAAAGGAAATACCAATTTTGATAAACTAAATCTTCCTTTTCGAAAAAACACTTTTCCTACTGAACCGTCCTTATTCCAAGTTAAACAATTTTCAAAGTATTTTATGTTAGGCAGATTATCTTGTATTGTTCCATAATCAACAGAGTTCTCATCCTTGGAAGCACTATAAACTGGTATATTGCCTTTATGCTTTTCTACAAAAGATTTGCTTAATTTGTCGCTATTGCTTTCGATTGATAAATCAAAAATTTCTCCGATAGTAATTTCTTTCTCCAAAATCGTCTCTCTCTCTCTCTCTCTCTCTCTCTATGATTATAGTTAAATCATTAATCTTTTGTTTGTCATGTTTTATTACATCTCTTAACTTCCTAATGTATTCATATTTTTCAGTAATTTCCTGTTGTCTTTTTAAGTCAAAATTGCCCTCTTTGGTAATTGGAACTTTTATTTTTACTTTTTTAATTATTTCAACAGTAATTCGTCATTCGTTCCCTCGGCATTCGC